TTCAAATTTCTGTATCTTCAGGCGATTTTGATTCAATAATTTTTAACGATTTATTTTTTAACGTGAGGTGAACAAAAAGGATAAGGAGGAGGAGGAAAATTTTCAAATGTATTAAAATGTATTGGTTCAAATTAAATGAAATATTTTTTTTTTGAAATTTCAAATGAACTCAAAAGAAACTTTTATTGATAAATACAACACGAAAAATAAAGAAAATGACTCATCTGATTAAATAAAAAATTTTTTTAAATGAAGGGGTATTATAGATAATTTTTCTTGTTGACAAAGATAAAAGATATTACTTTTGATTTTGTGAGGTTTGGCTTTTTTTTTTTTTTGTGATCATCAGATTTATTTTTAAAAATCAAAACGAATTTTTATGACATTTTAAAAGTTTTTAAGATTTTTTTGGAATTTTTATCAAAAAGTTGACAATGAGCTGAAAAACATTTTTTTTTCTCTGACATTTTATTTTAAAACTTTGTACCCTTTTTCTAAAAATTTGTATCTACTATTTCTGCTTTGATAAATTTAATGAAGTTTTGCATTTCCATCTATTTTACATCCATTTTTATTTTTAAGTTGTATATTTATCACTATTAACAATGTTTTACTTGCATGTTTGTTTTAATTTCAGGCGTTTTCTCATTTTATTGCGGTTTCTAATGTTAAAAAAAATCTGTAATTTAATTTCATTGTTTTTTTAATTAAATATTTTAAGTAATTGGAATAATTGGGGAAGTAATTCAGATTTTAATTTGAAAAATATTTTCTCTGTTTCATTGTTGACCATTATCTTAATTAAAAAAATAATATTTAATAAAATTTGGGAAAGAATTGAAAATTCTTATTCCCATTATTTACATTGTAGACTACCATCCTAATCTTTGTTTTATCACAACTATTTTCGGCCGTTGCAACCACGGTTTTCTTCAGGTAAAAATGTCGAACTGAACCCTTTATTTCGTTATTTTGACATAAGTCTGTTCTATTTCCATTTATGCCATGTCTAATGGATTTCATTTATGTTATCTCCTGTTAATTTAAAATTTCCAGTTTTTCCACCTTTTAACCAGGTATTGAACTCCAAATTTGGGTCCTGTAATAAAAATTGGAAATTTTAATTCTATATAATATATATATATATTATATATATATATAAAAAATATCTAAAAATAATTAATAAAAAAATTTTGTCCATTTCAATAATATGTGACGTCATTTGTTTACATTTCTAAAATACGCATTGAGCAGATATGAATGTACGTGAGAGATTAATGGAAGAAAAAAAAAGCAGTAAATTTGACTTTTTAATCGAACGATCCTCCGTGGCTCGATCGGTAAAGGCATTATGCTAAATGACGTAAAATTAATAGGATACAGGTTCGATTTCTGTCGGAGGACGAATATTTTCTATGAAGATTTCTCGGACATTCAGGCCAGTAAATGTTGTTTAATACTGTTTATTATAAACCGAGCATTTACTTAAATATTTGTATCAATAAAAAGAATGTGTAAACATAAAAATGTCTTTTTATATATAGTAATTAATGGATTTTACTTATCGGGTATTGTTCTATACTGGGGACACTTTTTGAGAGGACATCTCTAGTGGGGATCTAACCTGTAATATCATTTAATCAGAGAAAACGTGTGACGACGTCCTTTTACTATTTAGCCACACCTAACTATAATTGAATCAATTCACAAAACAAATATTCTGTTTATTTTTTTATCAATCAATTTTTTTTATTTTTTGTTTATTATTGAAATCTTGTTTGAATTTTTTTTCGAGTCAAATATATTTCAATGCAAAAAACACAGTTTTATGACATTTTTTTCCCCATTTTTAATTTAAAAAACCAAATTTAATTCAATTTTTTTATTTATAAAATAGAAAATTAATTAATCAAGCATTTTGTTATTGAAAATTACAGAAGCGTTTCATGTTTTAACCCTAATCCGAAATCATAAATCAGTTTAACGATATTGTAACATATAGACAAAAATTTGTATTGGAAATTACAATCAAAAAACCTTTTAATTATAATTTTTATTTTTTGTTAATATTTAATTATTTCAGACAATAATTTCCAGAATTAATTGAACTTTATTCAAAAAATTCACCAACAAAAAACCAAATAAATCAATTGAAATTTTTTCCGCCGGCCTTGAATCAGATTGTATAATTAAATTATCCCAGATAAAAAATCCATTATATTTGTTTTTTACACAAAAACATACAGATATAACAAATTTCAAAAACCACATTTAACGAAATTTACTTTTTAGCAGCAAATATCTAAAATGACAAAGTACATATAAATGGAAGGAAAATAATAATATAATCAAAATGCTGACTTTCCACACTGCCTTAAACAAAAGTTTAGGGAGGAAACTCCCATGAATGCTACAAAAAAATGGTCAGGGTTAATGAACTTGAGAAACATATCTATACACGAAAAAAACCAATCTGCCATTTGGCAAAAATACTTGGGAGATAAAAAGCCGATAGTGGCTTTTCATCTCAATTTCGATGAAAATTAAAGCGGAATCCTGGTAAAATTAAGCCACCGGCTGGCCTCTAGCGGTCCGCCAGTGGTAACATTGTCTCTTAGCTTTTTTTACCGCTAGTGGCCCGCTGTCGAACCGCCGGCGTGTTCGTCTCGGAAATATTTTCCACAAAGGACCGCTAGAGGCCCATTTTCTGATTGATGGCTTACACTAGAGGACCGGTGGTTTTTCTAAATGGCACGCCAGAGGGGCCACTAGCAATTAAAATGCAGGGATAATTTCCATTTAAAAAAGATTTGAAAGAAAATTTATGAAAATTTCAACCGACATGAAATTTTATAAATATGTTCGGTCAATGATGTATTAACTGTTGTCTGTATGGAAATGGTTAATTTTAAAATTACCAATTAGGAATCTATTTAAAATTTTTTTTTTTTTTAACCATAGAACACTAACCATCAATTAAAGTTACACCACTACTAACCATGGGTATATCATACCCGATTTTGAAAATATCAAAAAAAAAAAAAATATTAAATATAAATCTTTATTTGAAATATTTTACATGCAGGCACTTCAAACTTTTGTACTTTGAGTTAACATTAATAGGAACTGAAAAAATATTATTTAGGTAAGAAAATCAGGTACTGAAAATTGTAATTAAAAATAGGAAAATTTGTGCTGGGTACTATATACCCATGGTTAGTGTTCTCGGGTTAATATACGGATATAACAGTCAAGCCATAAAATTATCGGTTTATAAAAAAAAAGATTAATTCAATTTTTTTTTTTATTTTACCATAAACAAAAAATTTAAAAAAAATTTGACCCCTAAGAATTTAGAAATTTTAATGATAAAGACTTTCTTGATAAGTTTCAAATTTGATGAAAAAAAAAACAATCGAAAAACATTTTATAAACTTCAACCGATTTTAATTATTCAGTTTGGCAAAAGAAAAATGAAATTTGAAGAAGTTAATTTCCAACCATTATAATTTAGACAATAATTTTACTTTTTAGATTCCATTTGAAATGATTTACTATAATTTTTAATTGAAATTTTTTTTTTTTTTTTTTCATTTGGAACGATTTTTTTATTTAAAATAATTTATAAGCATGAAATTAAGTTTACTGGGAAATTGAAAACGATTTTACTATTTCCACATTTATTATTGAAATTTTTTTAATATAGAAATATTTTAAAAATGAATTCATGAAAATTGGAAAAAAAAAAATTAAAAATATAAGAAAAGATATGGTTTCAAATAGGAACCCAATTAAATAAACGATTTTATAATATTTTTTAATTGAAATTTTTTTTTTAGTAGGCGATATTTTTCAATTTCTATGGGAATGCATTGGAAATGTTTTTAGATATTGGAAACTAAAAAATGATTTTATTTTCCCAACTTTATAAATCATTTTTCTTTTGGGGAATTTTTTTTAGAAATGATTTTATTATAGGAATGCACCCAAAAAATTTTTGCATTATAGGAAACCATTTCAAAATGATTTTACTCAATTGGGAATGCATTTTAAATTTCTTTTCCGAATGCATACAATAGGAATACATCTGCGTTCTTAGAAATGATTGAAGATATTATCATTGCTAAATACATTGGAATGTTTTACTAAAACCCAAACATTAATTTCAAATGATTTGTATATAGAATTTATAAAAAATGGTTTTATAAACTTAAACCATTGTTTATGTTTCCTATGAAAAGTACAAAAAATGATTTTACTATGAAATTCATTAAAAAACATTAAACTAACAAAATACATTGGAAATTTTTTTTTATTTTTTTTTTTACATTTGTTTTTATTTTAGGACACCATTTTAAATGATTTTTATATAAGAATACGTCATTTAAAATAAATTTTGGATCTATTTTATTTTGAATGCATTGTGAACACATTTTAATAAAGGAACTCATTTAAGGGAAAAGAGTTTAATAAATTCTTTATAGGACTTTGTTTTACTACATGAATGAATAATCAAATGGTTTTTTTATGTTATTCATTTAAAAAAAAAAGAAACAAAAGAAGATAAATTATCTGTAAAATTATTGGAAACGATTTTATTATATTAATATCTAATTTATTAAATAAAAGACTTTATTAAATAAAATTTTATTTATTTTCGTTTAAAAATAACGTTAATTCTTTCAGTTTAACATTAGAAAGCTGAGTTAATGCTAGAATTACCATTATCTGGAAATTGAAATGCTGAGAATTACCAATCAAACTGATTTAATTTTTTAAATATTTTTGCTTTGTTAAGATAGATGTTCAGAACTGTGAGGCGAGAGAGAGAGAAACAAGTGAAGGATAAAGAGATTTTGTTACGCCATATCTTTGAAACATTCACAGATTTATGCAAAATTTTTATGTTCAATCTATTAAGGTCAGATGGGCGTTTAGAAAATAATTTATTTACGAATCAATTTAATTTGGCTTATCTAATTTGGGTCGGATATCAAAAGATGTTTGGTAAGAATATTTCGGATGAATCCCCGGAATTTGTGCTGAAAATAAATTGAGAAAGCTCATTAACTATCATAGTTCAATAAAAGAAAATGAGAATTTCCAGCAAATATCAAGAAAATTCTATTACAGATCTTTACATTGATCTGTCTGTAAAATATCTTTCCGCTTTAAATATGATGTTTTTTTGTGTTTTCTATATTTTATCGGTTCTGACATTTTAATTATTTCGATTTCCATTCAATGAGGCTGGGAAATGGATGAAAGAAAGAAAATTCAATTTATTATCTGTCAGGCAAAACCTAGTTATCTTTCTATTTTTCCATATTATCTTTCAATCTATCTATTATATAAACACACACATTCTTCACACACACACACACACTATCTATATATATATATATATATCTATATATTTGATTAATTCTTCCTTATTTAATATTCTTTTTCCCTCTTACCCATGTATCAGATATAGAGTGTTTAAATTTATTTTTCTATCATTGACGTTCTCCACTTAGAGGTTCTTTCATCTTACTCAGACTCAATTGTCAGAATTTTCCATAAAACACATATATATATATATATATATATATATATATATATATATCTATCTATTATCTAAATAAATCTATCTATCTAATATCCAATTATTTCTCTCTGGTATATTATATATTTTATATATATATATATATATAATTATTCCAAAAATTGTTCTATCTCGCATGTTTTCCTCCTCTTGAAAAATATCTTTTCTATCTTTAAATCATATAAAGAATCTAATTCTAATAACATCTCTCTCTCTCGTATGAAATTTTCTTCTGACTGGTTCTGTAGCGTGTTGATTTATATATTTTAAATTCGTTAAATATATTAATCTCTCTCCATTTTGTTTCGAAAATCTTTTTTTAAAATAATAAATAAAATCTATAAAGAACTTTGGATTATTTACCTAATAGTATATTTATATATATATATATATATATATATATATATATATATATATATATATGGAGAAATTTTAAATCCGACATCCGGGAACGCATCTTATTATGATAAGATTTTCGAATATCTTAACAGGTAGATGTACACAAAAAAATAACTTTTTAATTTAAAAGATTTTTTTTTACTATTCGAATTCTGAAGTTCCATCAAAAATTTCATTAAACCTTATAGAATATATTTATAGTCTATCTACAGACAGTCTCATCTGATGATTCACAGCTTTTCAGTATACTAGATTTTTTTTAACTTTTAATCATCCATCACAATCCAGACTAATCTGGCTTTTTCTTTTTCAGAGATTTTAAATTTTTAGCCGTCTTTTTAAGGGATGAAAGGAAATTCAAATTATATTTGTTTTTTTTCAATGACACAGTGAAGAAGGAGAACTCAAATTCGCCAGTTAAAACAGAAGACATGCATAATTAAATGTAAAAGAATTCTTTACAAAGGAAACATAAAATTTGGGAAAACACATTCCTTTGGGATCTCAAAGGTATTTATTTGGAGGAATATAAAAATATATATATTAAAATATATTATATATAAAAAAATAGATTAATCGGACTGTACTATAACCATTCCAATTTGCTTAAAGAACTTTTTATACCAGGGAAAGAAGGTTTAAAGAAGATAAATGATTCTAATTTGTTTACCGAAATTGGATATATAATCGTCCAATGGATTAAATTTAGTTATTTCCGGTTTTATTAGTCAGATGATGTAGGCTTTACGTTTTAGTCGACCAATAGAATTACATTTGAAAGTTTTTTTTTTTTGGATAGAAAGACTTATAGAACTGAAGAGAATTTATTTCCGCCCTGATCATATTTATGCTAACATTCTTTTTTATTTCCAATTTTCCTTCGGAACCCTACTTTGTTTTAATATATCTGAGAATTTATGGAATGTATGTTTTTTTTTTTTGAGTAGAAACCAAATATCCAATCTATTTAACATTTTAACATATATATATATATATATTATGAAATGGACAAAGTAGAGACAATTATTTAAAGACCTTTTTATGTTTAATACTTTTTATAGATACAAAGCGTTTTTTTAGTAAATGCAACAATAATTTATAATAAACAGCATTTATTAAATAACATTTACCGGCCTGAAAGTCCGAGAAAAATTCATAGAAAAATTCAGTAGATTTGACAGGATGCCAAACCTGTTCCTATACGGAACGATCATTTAGCTTGACATGATAACCGATTGGTCACAAAGGATCTTTCGATTTATTTCTGTAGGTAGAATTGCCATACTATATAAACTTCAATCTTCCATGAATTTCTCTTTACATTCAGAAAATGCTGTTTGTGAATCAAATGGATTCGACTTGAAATTCAGATAAAAAAATGTTATTTAATATTGTTTATTATAAATCTCCTTTCGTTTAAAAAATTAAATAAATAAATATGGAAAAAGAAATGATTATGAAAGAAAATTATTTTCGAAAATATATATCGATATATATTATAAATATATATATATATATATATATATAAATTTGTGTGTGTGTGTGTGTGTGTGTGTAAATGAAGACCAGTGGCATTTCGAAAGAAAATCATTCAGGCACAATTTCTATTGAATACGACAAAAAAAAAATTTTATTTATTCATTTTTTATACAATTTCTCATGCGATCTAATTTTTTTTTAGAGAGAATAAATTATATAAAAACCTGTCCGAATGTTATTTTTATCCAAAGCTTGTTTTAATATATATTTAGCCATTTTCAAGGATTAAATTTTTTTTTGTTAAATAAGAAATAGTTTGTTGCATGTATGTTTTATAAAATGTTTTCATTTTTTCAAATTAATGATTAAATTCAAAATATATTGATGATAAACATGTTCATATTTTATATATTATATAATATATATATATATATATATATAATATTATATATAATATATATATATATATATATATATAATTACAAGGAGGATATATATACCAAAGAGGGTCAAGATGGGTAAATTGTCGCCATTTTATTTTTTTTAATTTCGCGCATTGCATTGTTTGTTTTTATTTTGTCGACTGCACAGTATAGTAATCAGTTGAGCATCGTCTGTGATATAAAAAAAGCGAATGAAATAATTCTAAATAAATGAGAAATTTAGAAACGCTATGCAAAACTGTTTGGTAATCGAAATAATCTAGAGCTCCAATATGGCATTTCAAATGTTTGGGTGTCAGTTCGAGGACAGTGCAGAGGATTCGGAAAGAGTTGGATGAGTCAAATGGTGATGACAAAGGTACAGCAGCTCGGAAAAACCACTTTGATCGTTCAGATAAGAAAAGAACTCCCGAATTTGTTGGTGAGGGCCTCAAACTCAACACGATGGCCGACAGCAAGTGCTTTGAAGCATTTTTGCTTTGAAAAAGTCGGAAGACGAAACACGTCGGCAAAAAACTAAGATTTTTTTCTAATTGTCATCTTATACTAATTTGTCTTGTCCACAGAATTGATCTGGGAATCTATCTATCTATCTATCTATCTATCTATCTCAGTCCGTTTATACCTATATATCTATCTCTGTTGGTCTGATCAAAGGTATCTATCTATCTATCTATCTATTTATCTATCTCAGGCTGTTTATTTCTATCTATATATCTATTTCAAACTGTTGATATCTATCTATCTCTGAATCCGTCTGAAGGTTATCTATTTACCTTTCGTTATCTTTGAAAACATGTCTTTCCCTGTAACTTTTTCTGTCACAGTATGTTATATATATATATATATATATATATATATATATATATAGAGAGAGAGAGAGATTATTAGAAAGAGAGTCCCTAGGTCTGGAAGGTGGCTGTTAAATCTATAAATCTAGCAACAGGACTCTGAACAAAAACACAAACAGGGGGAACCCAGTCCTGGATGTCAGACAAATTCTGCGACTACATCACACTTTACATCAGGCCACCTAAATTCCCAGACTGCAAATAACTTTGTGTTAATGAAGTTGAGTTGGAGAAAGACCAACATATTCCTTCAAACATCAAATATAAACGAAACGAAACGAAACGATTATGGCAGTATCCTCCAACTTAAACAAGGAGACCGTCCAGAAGAGTTGCATTAGATTCCGAAGTCATCTGGAGGCCGTAGTAAATGCCAATGACGATTTTATTAAATAAATTTACTCTTTAGTATTTCAAGATATTTTATGTTTAATTTTGATAAATATATCTGTTAAAATGTCAATGTTATTTTGATTATAGCGTAATTTAAACGTTACTTTATCCATCCTTGCGTTTATATTATATATATATATATATATATATATATATATATATTTAAACTGAAATATTTGGTGAAAGTAGATAGGTAGTTCCTGGCTCTTTAGGATATATATATATATATATATATATATATATATATATATATATATATATATATATATTTAATTAATTCATCAGAGTGTGATAGAAACCTCAACAGAATGCAAAAAGCCCTGGACGGCCGTTATATATATATATATATATATATATATATATATACTAAATAAAAATATATATATATATATATATATATATATGTATATGTCAGTCTGTTCATAGTTTATCTCAGTGTATTCATATCTAAGAAACGAAATCTATTCATCAATATCTATTATCTATCTATCCAGTCGGTTCATATTTCTGTATATCAGTTTATTCATTTCATTCTATTGATCTATCTATCAATCTATCTATCAAAATTTATATTTGGCCTGAGAAGATCTATTATCTATCTCAGTCTGTTTAATAACCCATCTGTCTATATATCTATATATCTACTTCAAACTGTTAATATCCTATCTATCTTATTTGAAGCTATTTCATTATCTAAAATGGTTTGATCAGATTATCTATCTATATTGAAAGATGGAAAGAAAGAAAAAAAAACACTTAGTATAAGGGAAATTTACATTAACCAGAAACTACTTTTATCATGCAAAAGTTTTTCTCTTTTTTTAAAATTTGGATTTTGTCCCAGCTATAATTGAAAAAAAACATTTCGATTTCATTTTTGCTTTGAAAAAGTCGAAAGACGAAACACGTCGGTAAAAAACTAAAAATTTTTTCTAATTGTCATCTTATACTAATTTGTCTTGTCCACAGAATTGATCTATCTATCTATCTATCTATCTATCTATCTATCTATCTATCTCAGACCGTTTATACCTATATATCTATCTCTGTTGGTCTGATCAAAGGTATCTATCTATCTATCTATCTATCTATCTATCTATCTATCTATCTCAGGCTGTTTATTCCTATCTATATATCTATTTCAAACTGTTGATATCTATCTATCTCTGTCCGTCTGTTTGTTATCTATTTACCTTTCGTCATCTTTTCAAACATGTCTTTCCCTGTAACTTTTTCTGTCACAGTATGTTTATATCTACCTATATATATATATATATATATATATATATATATATATATATATATAGAGAGAGAGAGAGAGAGAGAGAGTGTTGAGATAGAGAGATAGACAAGATAGATATGCCTCTGTCTGTATCAGTGTTTTCGTTGCAGAACAAATATTCCATCGGTTTATCTATTCTGTCTATCTGCGTCCGTACATATGGACCTGTCACAATCTGTTCATATTTCTTTATCTATCTTTTTCAGTCTGTTCATATCTATCGATCTCTATCCATTGATATTTATCAGATTTATTACTTACTTACCAATCGTTATTTTTTATCTGATTTTGTTATCTTCGCTGACCATAACCAACGAAACGATGATCCAATATGGAAGTTAACTGACCTTAATTTTGTTGAAAGTTCAGAAACACGGTTCGATTGTCCTCAGGACTTTATTTGAACTTCGGTAACTAACACAGAAATAAAAAATATATTGTAATGTGTAAGTTTACAGTGCTAAGATTCGTCAGCCCAGTGGCACATTTTATGACAAAAATAGCAACTGATGAGTCAGGTTCAACAACACAGATGGTTAACTATAGAGTTTAATAGGGTCCCGAATCGCAATTAAAAACCTTTAATAAAACAGACAGTAACGATTTACAATAAGAATTAATTAGAAATGAGTTTACTATGAGAATTCATTCCAAACGCCATCCTGGGTAAGCCATTAAACTACACCTGCGTCCTGGGTAAGATGATAAACTACGTCCAGCAGCAAGGCCTCTGATCAGGTGGTTTTGAGGAGCGTGGAATCACCTCTTAATTGCTAGTGTTCCCAAGTCCACCCTGATCCGGGGTGGTAGCACCTGTTAGGGTCCCAGCTATGGACAAATAGTTAAATATTACCAGCAATAGTTTTATGAAAAAAATTATTACCTGCAATACAATTTTGAAGGAAAAATATTTCCAGAAACAGATTTTTGACAAAACAAAATATTACCAGCAATAAAAAATGTTGTCGGCATTAAATAACCGATTGAGGCTGATATGCCGCAAAACAAAAAATAAACCAAACCAATCTAAATTAAAGAATACATAATCTATACCAGCAACGAATCTATCCTAAAAATGTTGTCAGCATTAAATAACCCATTGAGGTTGATATGCTGCAAAAACAAAATAAACCAAACCAATAGAAAACCAAAGAATACATATTCTATCCATACGAATCTATCCTAAAAATATTATCGGCATTAAATAACCCATTGAGGTTGATATGCCGTAAAACAAAATAAACCAAACCAATCTAAACCAAAGAATACACATTCTATTCATACGAATCTATCCTAAAAATCTTGTCGGCATTAAATAACCCATTGAGGTGTTGATATGCCGTAAAACAAAATAAACTAAACCAAATCATTCGAAACGATTTTACTATTGGAATTTATAGGAATTAAGTTTACTATATAAATGCATTAGAAACGATTTTAATATAAGGATGCATTGGAAATAAATTCACTAAGGGGATGCATTAGAAATTATTTTACAATAGGAATGCATTGGAAATTGATTTTACTATAAAAATTATTAGAAATGATTTTACTATAAGAATGGATTGTAAAAGATTTTACTATAGGAATTCATTGGAAATGTTTTCACTATAGGAATGCATTGGAAATAATTTTACTATAGGAATGCATTGGAAATGATTTTACTATAGGGATGCATTGGAAATGATTTTACTATAGGGATGCATTGGAAATGACTTTACTATAGGAATGCATTAGATATGATTTTATTATAGAAATGCAATGGAAATGATTTTATTATAAGAATGCATTGTAAATGCTTTTACTATAAGAATACATTGGAAATGATTTTACTATAGGAAACCATTGGAAATGAGTTCACTAAAGAATGTATTGGAAATTATTTTGCTATCTGAATGAATTATACTATAGTTATTAATTGTAAACGGTTTTACTATAGAAATACTGGAAGATGATTTTACCATAAGAATTCATTGGAAACGATTTTACTATAGTAATATCTAATTTGTTAAATAAAATGCTTTAAGAAACTAAGTTTTATAGCTTTCAACTGAAAATAACGTTAATTCTTCGGGCTGAGAAAACGGCTAATCTAACCATTACCATTAACTGTTTGTTCTGAAAAGTTTCAGACCAACCAAGAAATGATTAAAAATAAATAATTTGGTTTTTGGTCCTATTTTCACAACTGCTTTTTTCAGGACCGAGAAAATTTCGGTGTTCTCGAAATAGACCTCTCCAGATTTCGGTACAGCATTCTCTTCAAATCTCTCCTGATTCTTGCAGCATTTATTGACTTGACAGCGAGGTCAGATGAGCAAAAGGCGATTTGCTTGAACCCCCTCCCTCTCGCTCCACGGAGTAAGGATGTGACAAAGGGTTGGTTTAACGTGGGGAACCCGAGCGTGAACACTCTGGCTAAAGAGAAAAATTTCCTGAGACTCCACAACCCTCAGTTGCACTGGTCTCGGTGTGAGCACCAATCCCTCTCCCCAGTGCAGCCTCAGGCATCTGTTCCTCAGGGCTGAGCATCTGTTCTTCAGGGCTGGGCATCTGTTCCTCAGGGCTGGGCATCTGTTCTTCAGGGCTGAGCATCTGTTCTTCAGGGCTGGGCATCTGTTCCTCAGGGCTGAGCATCTGTTCTTCAGGGCTGGGCATCTGTTCTTCAGGGCTGAGCAGGGCTGGGCATCTGTTCTTCAGGGCTGGGCATCAAAAAATGGGGATAATTCTGCTAAAAAAAATGTTCTTCAGGGCTGAGAATCTGTTCTTCAGGGCTGGGCATCTGTTGCTCGGGGCTGGGCATCTCACAGTGTGATTTTCCTCAGTTGCGCTTCTGTCCTCTGACGCAGCCACAACTGACTCGCACTCTACCTGAAGAAAGAGACGCAACTTAAAGTCTACCTATGCCAGGTAAGCATACCAGACGTGCAAAAGAGAAGACACTGGAACGGCGAATCAATTTCCGCAGCGGCCTTTCTAATTGTGGGCCGGCGCAGTTGGGTTCAAATTGACAATATTAATAAGATCCGGATTCGACAAAACAAATAGGGTATTTCTCCCACATCTATGCTGGAACTGCCACTTCCTCACTTACCAGCCTTGATAAAGTTAAAAAAAAATTCACACGGCCTCGTGGATGATGAATTATTTCCAACCCTACCAGCCGTTTCCTCAGAGTCGAAAAGCCGCAAACCTATCTCTATTCTATCACTGTTTCCGTGGTAAATATTCAGACTAGTTACATTACTTAATTACACCAGGATTCAGTTTTTTCCACCCTACAACCACCCCCCCACGAAACGCTTCTTGACTCTCACGAGTCAATCGCAGATTTTCGGCAAAACTAAATTCCTTGGTTACGCCAGTCCAAGCCTTCACAGCTAGGACCCACCAGTCGACAAATGCTGAATTGAACCCTCATTCCCTTCATATTCAATTAGCAAGGAAGAAGTTCCCTTCAACTTTTCCCCACCCTTGTTGCGTTATGGAAGAGAAACTTTCACCACTCGTGATAAACGGATGGTCCCTGAGGGAGGCCCCGTGCCCTGAGCACCTATTGAGACAGACTCAATCCAGACCTTAAGGGGAACTCGTACATGGTCGGTTCCCTGTACCGTCCCAGCAAGTATCTCACTCATCCTGCTATCCTCTACTTTTACAAGTGCCATATTAGGCCGAAAATGATTTCTCTTATATATGGGGGTGGGGTGTATGGGCTGTCGATCTTCACTTCCTAGTCTCGATAAGAGTCCAAGAGCGGTCCTCGTGTCCTTGAAAGCGATTTTCCATTCCCAGACAAGTGGTCGTCCCTAAGAATATCAACCCAGAATTATCCTCGATCCTAGGAAAGTTATTTAACCGCTGCTTAAAGAAGAAATCTTTCCAAGGACGTGGAAGGTTGGAAGCGTATACCCAGTCTTCAAGAACTTTTTGAGGCCTTAATCAACAAGAAGGTTGTCGAGCACCTGGATAGGAATAACCTCTTGTGCGACGAGTAGTATGGGTTATGATCAGCACGATCCACTGCTGATGTCCTAAATAGCATTACACACAGAATTAGTAAGGCCTTTGACGACACACATACCGCAAGGACTATAGCATTAGATATCTCAAAGGCCTTCGATAAGTTGTGGCACAAAGGTTTCATACACTTCGAACCAGTAATAAGGAGTGCCAGAGAAAAGCGATAACAACAAAAATTGCAATATGAGCGCTGGTAAGAACATGGTTACTGATGACATTAGGTTTATAATACTCAGAAATTCATACACAGATGTCCACATGGCACAGTGGATAAAGGCGTTATTTAGATCCAATGACAGGATCCAAAGAGTTCAATACCCGGTTAAGGCAGTGGAGAACTTTCAGAGGGAAATTAACAGGAGATAACTAATAACTGACATCCATTAAAAAACATGGCACGTGGAACTAGAACAGTCTACCCCAGTGAACGAAATAAAGAGTTCATTTCGACATTCCAACTACCTGAAGAAGGCCGGAGCGTACAACGGCCGAAACGTTGTTATAAATATGGCGACAAAGATGAGGATAATAGTCCGAATAATGTAAATAATGTACATAATACCTCATCTCAGAAATGTAGACAGATACTTGAAAAGGTTTTCTCTATTATAAAATCCTTCTTAAGAGGTAGATCCCTGAAGGTAGCTATTAACGGCCAGTCCTCTGAGACTAGGGATCACTCTTTCTGATTTACATAAATGATCTACCAAAGAATATATCCTGATCATTTGTAAATGTTTATGCCGATGATACGACTATATATTATAAAAAAAGTTACTTGTTGTTAAACGAACATAATAAAAAAAAACAATGCGCCTTCCGGCAGGATTCGAACTGGCGTGCCTCTTTGCAAGAGAAACCAATGTTTGATCGGGAGTGCTTTGACCGCTCGGCTATGGACAGCTTCCCAATGAAGTTCGGTTTTATTTGCCTTAAAGTACATTCACCCGTTCAGATTTTCTCAAAAACCACACCTGCTCAGTTTCATATCCGAAACGCAAACAAAGCAATTTCTAAAGAATTAATGGCTTTTATTTTTTATTCTGACATTTTTATTACTTCAAATGTTATTTTTAATGGATACCCATATCTGAGTAGACGCTCCGTTTATCTTAAACAGTATATAATTCGTCTACTGCTCTACATACTAGAGAAAACTTTAAAGAAAATTTACCTTCCAGAAGGATTTGAACCTGCATCCTCACATTTGCAGGAAAACCTACCATCTGATTCAGTATTTGGTACAGCTCAGCTATAAAGCACATCACAATAAAGCATGTATTTTACCTTTAAGGTACACTGACTTAATTCCCATTGATTTTCCCTGAAACACATATCCGCTCAGTTTCATATCCGAAACGCAAACAAAGCAATTTCTAAAGAATTAATGGATTTTTTTAACCAACGTATTCCATTAATTAGTCTCATTATATGGTCGATTATGGAAGATATTTCTCTATGGTCGATTATGAGCTTAGATTAGTGGGAGCAGGACTATAACTGGACGATGCACTTGACATATTGAGATTCGTTGAGCCTGAGATTCGTTGAGCCTGGCTCAGTGCTCAGTGCTCAGTTTCGTTCAGCATGAGCTTATTTGCACGTGTTTCAGAATCGCAATTTCATGGTCTACTAAGTATATTAATTGGGCTTCGGTGAGAGCAGCTCATAGAGGTAATTAAATTGTTCAATGTGGAGATTGACAGAGCTCAATTTAGTGTGGTTCAAATCACAGTTCGCCAGCCCACTTGAGATGTTTACTGAGCTTCGCTGAATCTGCTTCAAATACACTTATATATTCATCTCTGGTCCATTATGGAAGATTGTTGACCTTACTTTAATGGAAACTAATCCTAGTGTGATGTCATTATTATGAAGAATTGATTTCTTTGGCTCACTTACATAGTTTTATTGTCTAATATAGTTTCACTGAGCTTAATTTAGTTTTGTTTAGAATCATAGTTAGATAACTCACTCGAGATATTCACTGAGCTATATTAAGTGTGAATCACAGATATAGTTTAATTGTCTAATACGGATGTTCACTGAGCTTTAGTGTTGTTCAGAATCACAAATGACCCATTTGGAATGTTCACTGAGAGTGACTCACACATATAGTTTAATTGTCTAATCTCAATGTTCACAGAGCTGAATTTGGTGTTGTTCAGAATCATAGTTAGATGACCCACTTGAGATCTATGCTGAGTCTGGCTCACAGAAACAATTAAATGATTCTGTATTGATTTTTACTGCTTCAGAACATGTGTTTCTGTTTTATGAATATTCTTCCTTTCATTCTTATGATTTCCATATTCATTTTTGACGCATCTTTATTTAAATAACGTGGCGTTTCCGACATTTTTTTTCTTCTTCTGCTCAACCAATGATTTGCAATTGTCATACTTTGTTGGTATTTTATAAAATGTTCTCATCCTTTTTAAAAGCCATGTTTTGTCCCCCCGTCGTCAGAGTTCGGCGAACTCCGTTCGATTCTGTCCATTTTTTTTTTTTTGTTTTTTTGTTTTTTTATTTTATGAATTTTCGGTATCAACTGCTTTAAAGAATTCATACTCTTTGACATCGTCTGCTTCCAGTTTTCGGTTTAAATCTGACTCGTCTACTTCTGTTTATTTCTTTCACTTCTCTCTTCGTTTCTTTATTAAATTTATTGCATTGTTTAAAAGAAAATTGTGTTTTTACGTTTGCGATTTGAATCAAAGCTAGTTCATTAAATTTAGCGACTCCATATTACTTAAACCGCCGTAAGGAAAAACATGACCAACCAGCCATATTATATATGCACACTGATGAGACAATACATTTTTGACTGGCGGCTTGCATCAAGAGTAACAACTACAGTCTAATAACACCAGTGTATATTAGTGTAACATTTCAGTGACTTTGATAAAAAAAAAGGTAAATGCTTCAAAGAGTTTAGGAAACTGTACCGTTTGCCGGAAGCACATTGGAGTAATGAATAGCGGTGTGGATTCAGAAATCGGAGAGCTGAGTTCAATTTCAAGTTGAGTTCCTTACATTCATTTACATGCTAATAACCTTGAAACATGTAGGTATACATACCTTCACTTCCAGCTATGGGTTAATAGCAGAACAGGCTGGGTCCTGTAGCCTTGCTTGGCGACTAGTCTAGGAGAAAGAAAACTGGATTCAAACCAGCCTGGAGACATTTGGGCTCCCTCAGGCTATGTTGTCTAAGAAACGTCCCTGCAGTGTGTGTGGAGCCCTATACCCTAATGGGTTACGTGTCTCGTGATCGCTGTTTGTGGGGGTACTCGCATTTAGTTCTCTATACAGATAATGCCAGAGCTGATGGCCGCACATCCCATGATCTAGACCAGAGCCTGATCTCTCTGCTAACCTAGTTTTAAGAACTCAATGCCGGTGGGTGATTGGACTGACGTTTAACTTTCAATAGCTCCAATTGTGGGTGACAAATTATTTTCCACCCTACAAACTCATAGACTAAACGTCACATTGCTCTATCGATGTTCCCATGGAAGGGGTTCACACGAACGACATTTCTTAGTTCCAACAGTTCTAACCTTCCCGGCTAGGACCCGCCGTGACACGCACATTGTAGTGAAGCACTTTCATTCCATTGGTGAGATATAAGTTCTACTCAAGCAGCTTCTTCCTGTGAACTGCTGCTTTGTGGAACTGACTCCCAAGAGGATGCTTCCCCGATCATTAAAATCTTAACCTGTTCATGCCTA